TTTGAGATGGAGTCTTGCTCTGTTGCCAAGCTGGAGTGCAGTGGCACAATCTCGGCTCACTGCAACCTCTACTCCCCAGTTTCAAGCGATTCCCCTGCCTCAGCCTCCTGCGTAGCTGGGACTACAGGCACGCGCCACCACGCCCAGCTAATTTTTTGTATTTTAGTAGAGACAGGGTTTCACCATGTTGGCCAGGATGGTCTCCATCTCCTGACCTCATATCACTTATCTTAAAAATCCATTCTGTTTATTTTTTTGTTCTTTTTTATGGCAACACTCAAAGTATCTTAATACTCACTATCTCCATTTTCTCATCATTCTGTTTTGAACCTTTTTCAGTCAGGATTTTGACCCTACTATTCCACTAAATAGGCAATAAGTTACCAATTTATTAGAGTTTATTATAAATTATGACTTTGATTGCTTCCTGGACAATGCAAGGCTATCAGTCTTATTGCTGTTGCTTTAAAGGTAATGAGTTGATTTTTCCCTCTCCTTTATACTCAGGATTTTTCTCTTTGTTTCAGGGTATCCTCAGTTTTTCTATGATATGCTTAAGTGAGGTTTTCTTTGCATTTATCCTCTTTGGAGTTTGTAGAGCTTCTGGGAGAACTGGGCTTATACCTTTTTCTCAACTTTATCTTATGCTATCAAAGACATTAATGGGACAATTGGTGAAATTTAAGTGCTGTAATTTAAATAATAATTCTGTATCAGTGATAATTTCCTGATTTTGATAGTGGTGGTGTAACTATATAAGAGAGTGTCCTTAAAACATAAAATACATAGTGAATTATTTATTGGCAAGGGAGTATAACTGCAGATTATTCTCAGATGCTTCAGGAAAAAATGTGTGAGGGTCTGCTTGGTATTCTTTGTGTTAATTTATAACTTTTAAGTAATTTGAATTTATTTCAGAATAACAAGTAGTGGGTATCTGTTTATCTCACAGTTGGCTTGTTTACATATTGACTATGGCTGCTTCATAGAAAATGGCAAAACTGAATAGTTGTTATAGAGATGTTATGGCCTGCAAAGCCTGTGATAAAAAAATATTTTTTATCTGACCCTTTGTAGAAAATTTTTGTTGAACCTTGCTCTAGAGGATACTATAGTGACTATTTTTCTTTCTCTGAAGTCATGCTACTCATTAATTTTTTTCATTTGAGAATAATGTGTTGTTTTTTCTTCACATATTTTCCAAAAGGATAAAAATCAACCAGTGGGTGGGGAGAATCCAAAATGGAAGGCAAATAGTAACATCTCCCAGGTAAAGATGAGAACTAATTACATGATTTTGGCAAAACAGTACTTTGGCTATTGTAAGGCTAAAGATAAGAACTGTATATAAAAGCTGTAATGTAGTTAATAAATGTGTTTCTCTTAGGAGTGTGGGTTAGCAATTCTGAAATTGAACAGATAATAGATTGCAGATAATGAAAGCTGGGTTCTTATGCTAGAGAAAGAAGTTTCAGGCAAGCAAAGAGAAGGCCTGAAGTGAACCCTGTGGCATAGGATTGAAATCAATCAGTATAAACTCATGATTTTTAATATCTGTATACAAATAGATGCAGTTGTGTGTATTGTGGGTTGGGTGCATTCATGTAAGTTCCTATTATTTTTCTGTGAGTTGACTAGATGGTTTTTGTCATGTGGTGTTGCTGGGGTACTGGCATGGTAGCAGTTTTTCAGGGGCTCAGCTGGACTGGAATGCCCAAAATGGCTCACTCACACAGTGGGCAGAGGATTCTGTCTATCTTCGGGGATTTCAGCTAGGCCCTGTCAACCAGAATGCTGCCTCTACGTGTGGTCTCTCTACTTGTGGCTTGGGCTTCTCTTAGCATGACAGCTGGATTTTAAGAGTGACTACCCCAAGAAAGAGCATTCTAAGAGACTCAGGTGGAGGCTGCAAAGCTTCTGATGATCTAGTCTCAGAAGTTATGCAGTGTCCTTTCTGCCTCATTTTATTGGTCAGCCAATAAAAATGATACCAAGCCACAGAGACATATTCAAGGGGAGTGGATTACACTAGGGCATGAACATCAGCAGGTGTGGTTTACTGAGGTCAAGGGGGACATCTTTGGAGACTACCTACCATGCTTGTTAATTCATATATTATTTTTTGCTCTTACATGTTTGCTTCATTTAATTGGATTGTTAGCTCTTTGAGGACAAGCACAATACTTTGTATTTCTTTATATTCTCCTCAGTCTCTTATTTGATGCTTTTCACATAGTAATTGCCTCGTTAAATGTATTGTGCCTTAGGATTCCAGGAATGCTAAAAGTCTAGGCTGGCAAGAACTATGAGAGGGCATGGAGGCACCTACTAATTGGACTGGGATTTTGGGCTGGCCCACTGTTGAACTTGTTTCACAAAGAGGCAGGCTGCCCACACAGATTTAAGGTTTAGATAAGGAGGCTGTATCCTCATGCTTGTATGAGTGTTTTATGATCTCTTTCTTCTCATAGATACTTGGCTTATAAAAACAGATTATTTTGATATTCATCAGTGTGGAAGCAATGTCCTTTATTTTACTGGACCTGGCTCCTAGCTGTCACAGGGTCTTGGTGGGGCTGAACCTGTAGGCTAGTGTTTTTAGGCCAGGCGGGGTTGGAGCAAGCAGGAAATTACACATGTGTGTACAGTAGTTTGAGTTTTAAAAATTGCAATTTAAAATCTATCTTTTCACAACAGTTATTATTTGAATCTTAACAACTTGGAGATAAAATTATATAGCTAACAACTAAATGTTAATTTACTTTAGCAAGATCTCTAGAGAATAAAAAAAGGATTTTCCGAAATACTTTATGCTAAAGAATCTTTTCAGGGAAATACATAGCATGTTTGTAAAAACTACTCTCTTTTACTCTTGGACCTGTTGGTAAGTAAGGGATGGTGCTGATACTAGTCCACAGCAGTGTTTGTGCTCTTTAGGCCACTTTTTCAAACCTTAGATTATATTTGTTGTTGAAATAACTTATTTTTTAGAGTTGTAGAACTGATTGTTTTTAGACCTAAAAAAGACTTGTGACTTTGTTTTCTCTGCTTAACCACCTACCAAATCCTAAATTAGTTTTAAGTGTTTTCTTTGTGAGAAAAATGTGAGAAATAATGACTTTGTTAAATATATATTTTGACTAATATCTAATAATCTAATAAGTACTATCTTTTCCGTATATAGGCTTCATTCCAGCGCTCCAATAGTCATGACAAAGTAAGGAGAATAGTTGCAGAGGAGGGTCGTACAGCAAGAAACCTGATAGCTTGGAGTGTTCCACTAGAAAACAAAGATGATGATGGTATGTATTTAAAAAATTAGTTTCATTTTTGTTGTAAATAAGAAGGATGTACTTAGTCCTAAATAGATAGACTGAAAACTGTTTGCAATTAGACCTCTTGGACTGATTAGTATATGTTAAGTAAGAAATAATTTTTTATTGCTTTTATACACACATGGCTTTATAAAAGCCTTATTGTTAGTTTTACTTTTTCAGATAGTAATGAAATTTGAAATTGGGTTTGTTGTGTTATTATGACTCACAGATTAGGGCTTTTTAAAGTGATAAGAGATTTAGTGATATGATTAGGCTTTGTCTCTCCTACCCAAATCTCACCTTGAATTATAATCCCCATAATCCCTATGTGTCAAGGGAGAGATCAGGTGGAGGTAATTGGATCATGGGGCTGGTTTCTCTCATGCTGTTCTCTTGATAGTGAGTGAGCTCTCATGAGATCTGATGGTTTTAACAGGGACTCTCTCCCCTTCACTTGGCACTTCTCCTTCCTGCTGCCTTGTAAAGAAGGCGCCTTGCTTGCCCTTCTCCTTCCACCATGATTGCAAGTTTCCTGAGGTCTCCTCAGCCATGCTGTACTATGAACTCTTTCCTTTATAAATTACCCAGTCTCAGGCAGTTCTTTATAAGCAGCATGGAAATGGACATTTAGGTTTTTTCTTTTATTAAATTCTTATAAAAATAAAAAGAGGTTTTTAAAAAATCATCATATTTGCCATAGTTAGGTACAATTTAATGTGATACTTTAAAAAATAGAAGTTTTTTTTAGTTCTCTTTATTATTATTTGAACTAGAAAAAAAAAATCTTCTCTCCCCTCCCTTTAATGGCTAGAGGCAGTGTGAGGCCCCTGTTTCTGGGAATGTTGCAGATTGGTTAGAGATACAGAGGACGGGAGGTCTCACTCTCTTTGAAATTTGTTACAGGAGACCTCACTTTGAAATTTTCTGAGGGCTTGTAGAATATTCCTCACAGTTGGGTTTGTCTGATGTCTTTTCATGACTAGATTCAGGTATGTGTTTTTAGTAGGAATTCTATAGAAATGATGTGTCCTTTTCAGTTATCAGAGGAGGTTCATGGTAACTGTCTCGTTACTAGCTAAGCTTAATCAGCTACTTAAAGTGGTGTCTGCCAAATTTCTCTACTGTAAAATAACTAATTTTTTCCTATGTAACGATGAATAATTTGCAATAAGATAGTTTGAAATTACGAAAATGCCCTGTTTTTTTGTTGAAACAGTATACTCACTGCTTATCTATTGATAATCCTTGGTTATGTTATTCCTCTGGTGGTTGCAAAGTGGTGATTTGTTAACTCCATCATTCCTTCTGCATTTGTTAGCCTTCTAATGTGAGGAAGAGCTTTACTATCTCCTCTTTATTTTGATGTATGTATGTATTTATATTGTCAGTTTGTGTGGACTCATGGCTTCTTATGGTATTTAATGAACTACAATTACTCTGTTTTGATGCTCAAATTGTTCTGGATTTGTTAAGTGAGAGATGCTTTAACTTGGCTCTTGTTCCTTTTGACGTGTTCTAATCATGTTTCCATTCTTTGAGAACATCTTTATACAAGGCGTTTCAAACTAAACAAGCATTCACCTATTTTTTTCTCTTAAATTTATATTTAAATTTTATTTAAAATTTTCTTAAAAATTTTGAAAAATCTTGAACTTCTTTACATTTGGTCCTCTGATCCATTTGTAATCTATTCTTACATATAGCGTATGGTGTGGATCTAATTTTATCTTTTTCCTTAGAGCTAACAAGTTGCCTTATTATAAAGTTTATCTTTGCCCCAGTTATTTCACATTCTACCTTTCCGTAGAATGAATTTCCATATGTAATTGTATTCCATTCTGCTAGTTTGTTTACCTAATTCATGAGTGAATGCCATACTATTTTGATTATGGAAGCAATTATAGTATTTTAAAATGCCTGCTTGGACCTGTCTTCCTCTGTAGCTTTTCTTTCTCAGTTTTTCTAGCCATTTTTAGAGAGCAGTCACTTTGAATCACAAAAACTATCAAATAAAGGGGAAAATTGGATTTGTCTTTTGAAATTCAGCTTCTTAACAGCTAATTTTTCCACAAGGAGATTACTATTACTTTATTTCTTTGATAAAAGTACATATCAACATGATTCATTGCAAAAGTAAAACCAAAAATATTTTGTGGTTGCTATATATTATAAATATTTTTATATGAAATTGTATTCTCTCATTTTCTATGGGTTATTCTGAACACAAAATAGTACAAAGGTGTTTCTATTAAAGTTTCTATTCAAAAACCATAAAAGGAAAGAAAATATAATAAACATCTGTACATAACCTGATTTTTCATATAAGAACATAAATAATTGGCTAGTACAGTTTTAAAGCTTCATTTGTGACTATTGTAACTAATAAAACTGTAAGCACAGGCCGGCACGGTGGCTCACACCTGTAATCCTTGCACTTTGGGAGGCCGAAGTGGGTGGATTGTCTGAGCTCAGGAGTTTGAGACCAGCCTGGACAACCCTGTATCTACTAAAATACAAAAAAAATTATCCGAGTGTGGTGGCGGGCGCCTGTAATCCCAGCTACTGTGGAGGCTGAGACAGGAGAATAGCTTGAACCTGGGGGGCAAATGTTGCAGTGAGTTGAGATCATGCCACTGCACTCCAGCCTAGGTGACAGAGTAAGACTCCGTCTCAAAACAAACAAACAAAAACCTGTAAGCACAGATAATTAGAACTTTCTAAATATCTGTAGCAATGATGACAAAAGAAGAAGGTTAACATTTATAATTTTTATGGAATATTTTATATTGTCAAAACTTTGCCATATATAGGAAAAAAAGTTTTTAATAGCAACTTGTTCTTGTTTTATGACTACAATATACACTTAGGTGTTTCTGAGGAAAATTCCACTTTTTTAAAAGTTCCCTGCTTCATATTATTTCTGTTTCTAAGCTGATTTTTCTGGTGGATATTCTAAAAGCCTGCTGGTACACTGCAGCTTGTGCCTATTCTAAGCTGGTTTTTCTGCTGGATAGTCTAAGAAAACTTGCTGGTACATTGTTCTATATAATAAAAGGATAAAGAATGTGGCTCTTCAGGTTAGTGTAGCATTCTATCCCCTTTAACCCTGGTGGAACACCAGGGTATCCCACTTAAGTCAAGTTGATAGTTAGGTACCTGTGTGTTGTGGCTCATGTAACTTATGCTGCTTCAGGGGACCTGGGCCCAAAATTATTTTGCAGAAAGGAAAATTATTCTGTTATACATTATAGAATTTTATTCCTGTTTTGAGACGCTGGCGAGGTTGCAGAGAAAAAGGAACACTTACACCTTGCTGGTGAGGATGTAAATTAGTTTGGCCATTGTGGAACGCATTTTGGTGATTGCTTAAAGAGTTAAAACCAGAATGACCATTTGACCCAGCAATCTAATTATTGGGTATATTCTCAAAGAATATAAATTGTTCTACCATAAGGACACCTGTACATGTATGTCCATCACAGCATTACTTACAGTAGCAAAAACATGGAATCAACCTAAACGCCCATCAACAGTAGACTAGATAAAGAAAATGTGGTACATATATACACCAGACACCATGGACTACTATGTAGCCATAAAAAGAATGAATCATGTTCTTTGTAGCAACATGGATGGAGCTGGAGATCATTATCCTAAGTGAACTAATGCAGGAACAGAAAACCAAATACTGTGTGTTCTCACTTATAAGTGGGAAGTAAACATTAAGTACGTGCACAAGGACACAAAAAAGGGACCAAAGACTCCAGGGCCTACTTGAGGGTAGCGGGTGGGAGGAGAGTGAGGATTGAAAAACTACCTATGGCTGGGCGTGGTGGCTCACGCCTCTAATCCCAGTACTTTGGGAGGCCGAGGAGGGTGGATCACGAGGTCAAGAGATGGAGACCATCCTGGCCAACATGGTGAAACCCTGTTTCTACTAAAAAATACAAAAATTAGCTGGGTATGGTGGTGCACGCCTGTAGTCCCAGCTACTCGGGAGGCTGAGGCAGGAGAATTGCTTGAACCTGGGAGGCGGAGGTTGCAGTAAACTGAGATCGCACCACTGCACTCCAGCCTGGCACCCGGCGATGGAGCAAGACTGTCTCAAAAAAAAAAGAAAAAAGAAAAACTACCTATTAGGTTCTTTTACGCTAATCACCTGGGCAATGAAATAATCTGTGCACCAAACCCCTGTGAAATGTAATTTGCCTGTATAACAAAGCTGCACATGTACCCCTGGACCTAAAGTAAAAGTTAAAAAAAAGAATTTTATTTCTATTTTGAAGTGCTTTTGAGAATAGTAATTACAAAACAGTAAGTTGATATCTTTCTTACAAAGAAGAATGAGAAAATACAAAGACTTGAAATCTCACTTTTCACAATGAAATTTTGCATTTCATATATCAGATAAACTAAAATATTGGGGTTTTATATGGTAAAACATATAATCTTCATTTTATTGTTGAAATAAAATTTGAACTTAAAGAACTATTTCCAGATTTGTATACAAGTTAAGGAGTACCAGTAACTGGACCTTGTTTTTAAGTTGTCAGAGTATCTGACTTCTTTAAGAAGTTGATTTACTCCTGTTCAGAGAAATGTATTTGATAATAGCAGTCTCTGGGACTTTGGAAATTTGTTGTTTTAATTATATCGGTTTATATTAACCATGAACAGACCATACTATACTGTGGTCTCTGGAAGGAGATTAAATGTTAGTATGCCTGAATGATTTGTGTAGCTTAGTATTATATTATCTAATTACCTATGGTTCAATTTTGTGTTATCTATCATTCTGTATGTCTACATATTTATTTATTTTTTTCTTGCCTTGAAGGAAAACCTAAATGTCAAACTGGTGGAAAATCTAAGAGGACAGTTCAAGGCACTCATAAAGCTACTAAACAAGTATGGTAAAAATATATAACATTTTTACTTATTTACTTTTAATTTCAATTTCTCTATGTCTTATAAATTATGAAAATCTTATTTTGCAGGATTTGAATATTTAAATAAAAATTTGATGTACTTTTTAAAAGAAATGTATATATAGTAATCAGTGTGACTTACTTGTACTAAATACGTTATAGATAATTAATTTATTTGGTTCTTGTAAACTTTGATGTAAGCATTACAGTTATCCTCACTTACAGTGAAGTTTTATTACAAAGAGAAACTGAGGCAGAGAGAGGGCATGTAACTGGCTAGTAAGTGACAGAGCCAGGGTTTGAACCCAGGCAGTTAATTTCTTTTCTTTTCTTTTCTTTCTCTCTCTTCTTTCCCTCCCTCCCTCCCTCCCTCCCTCCCTCCCTCCCTCCCTCCTTTCTTTCTTTTTCTCTTTTCTTTTCTTTTCTTTTCTTTTCTTTTCTTTTCTTTTCTTTTCTTTTCTTTTCTTTTCTTTACTTTTCTTTCTTTTTTCTTTATTTCTTTCTTTTTTCTTTAACTTTTTTTTTTCTTTGAGACAGTGTCATCCTGTTTCCCAGGCTGGAGCACAGTGGCATGATCTTGGCTCACTGAACCCTCTTCTTCCTGGGGTTCAAGCAGTTCTAGTGCCTCAGCCACCCCAGTAGCTGGGACTACAGGCATGTGCCACCACGCCTGGCTAATTTTTGTATTTTTAGTAGAGATGGGGCTTCACCATGTTGGCCGGGCTGGTCCCGAACTCCTGGCCTACTGTGATCTGCCCGCCTTGGCTTCCCAACATGCTGGGATTATAGGCAGAAACCACTGCATCCAGCCCCAGGCACTTAATTTCCACAATTTATGCTCCTAACTCCTCTTCTGCATCTTCCATGTTTGCCAGTTCTTTTATGATTTTCTTGATATAATGATGCCTTTATGTTGTAGGCTAGTAAAAATGTTTTGACTCTAAAAATTTTAAATTGCTCTACTAGAATTTTAGAGAACACAAGCCTACTTTATTTTTTTAAAGTGTTTAGCATAATTATAGTTAGCTCTTTAATCATAGCTATTTTCTCTGAACTTTTCATATGTGTTATTATTTTGGTAATTTGATTTTTTGAGATAAGGTCTCACTGTTGCCCAGGCTGAGCACAGTGGCACGATCACAGGTCACTGCAGCCTTGACCTCCTGGGCTCAAGTGATTCTCCCACCTCAGCCCTCCAGAGTGGCTGGGACCACAGGTGTGCACCATTGTGCCTAATTTTTGATTTTTTGGACAATTATTTTGATATTTTTAAGTATACTAGTATGTATTAGGTTAGATAAAACTTAATATGAGAAAAACATGGACTTCTAATCATGGTATCACTGAGTTCACAAAGAATCCTTCACCCACACACACAAAGGCATCAATGATTTTATATACATATATAATGTATAATATCTATTTTCAATACACTATATATAATAAAGGTTAAAAAGATATACATATGTGTATGTTTTTAATAAATATACAGCTATAAAATATACATATATACTTATATATGCACATATATACACACACATACATTTCTTATATATGTATATGTATTTTAGGTTCAGGGCTACATGTACAGGCTTGTTATATAGGTAAACTTGTTTCACGGGGGTTTGTTGTACAGGTTATTTTGTTACGCAGGTACTAAGCATAGTACCCAATAGTTATTTTTTCTCTTCCTCTTTTTCCTCCCACCCTCAAAGAGGACCCACTGTTTGCTGTTCCCCTCTTTGTGTTCACGGGTTCTTATGATTTAGCTCTTATAAATGAGAACATGCAGTATTTGGTTTTCTGTTTCTGTGATAGTTTGCTAAGGATAGTGGCCTCCAGCTCCATCTGTGTTCCAGCAAAATATATAATCTCGTTCTTTTTTATGGCTATGTAGTATTCCATGGTATATATGTACTAAATTTTCTTATCCAATCTGTCATTGATGGGCATTTAGGTTGATTCCATGTCTTTGCTATTGTGAATAGTGCTGCAATGAACGTTCAAGTGCATGTGTCTTTATGGTAAAATGCTTTATATTCCTCTGGGCATATACCCAGTAATGGGATTGCTGAGTTGAATGGTATTTCTGTTTTTAGCTGTTTGAGGAATTGCCATGCTGATTTCCGTGATGGCTGAACTAATTTACACTCCCGGCGGTAGTGTATAAGTATTCTCTTATCTCCACAACCTCACCAAGATCTGTTATTTTTTGACTTTTTAATGGTAGCCATTCTGACTGGTATGAAATGGTATCTCATTGTGATTTTGATTTCCATTTCTCTATTGAACAGTGATAATGAGCTTTTTTTCATATGCTTATTGCCGACATGTATGACTTCTTTAGAAAAGTGTTCACATTCTTTGCCTACTTTTTAATAGGCTTGTTTGTTTTTATTTTGTAAATTCATTTACATTTATTATAGATGCCAGATGTTAAACCTTTGTCAGATGCATAGTTTACAAAAATTTTCTCCCATTCTGTAAGTTGTTTGCTTTTTTTTTTTTTTTAGAATTTTAAAGATGTTTTCTACCTTTACTTATATCGTTTCTTGTAGAAATTTTGCTGTCACTATTATCTTTATTCTTTTGCATATATAGTACCTTTTTTTTGCTGTGCAGAAGCTCTTAAGTTTAATTAGATCCCATATGTCAAATTTTGCTTTTGTGTAAATTGCTTTTGGTGTCTTTGTAAAGAAGTCTTTGCATGTTCCTATGTCCAGAATGGTACAGCTGGTTGTGTTCCAGGGTTTTTATAGTTTTGGGTTTTACATTTAAATCTTTAATCCATCTTGAGTTGCTTTTTGTATATGGTGTTTCAGTCTTTGCAGATGGCTTCCCATTTGCAGAAGAGAATGCCATTTATTGAATAGAGTCCTTTCCCTATACCTTGTTTTTGTCAGCTTTGTCAAAGATCAGATCGTTGTAGGGGTGTGGCCTTATTTCTGGGGTCTCTTTGTTTGTTTTTTTGTGTCTTGTTTTTGTACCAGTACCATGCCGTTTTGGTTACTGTAGCCTTATAGTTTGAAGTTGGGTAGTGTTGATGCCTCTAAGTTTGTTTTTTTTTTTTTAGTTCTACATGAATTTTAAATAGTTTTATTTTTCGTTCTGTGAAGAATGTCATTGGTAATTTGTTAAGAATAGTGTTGAATCTATAAATTGCTTTGGGCAGTATGGCCATTTTAATGATATTGATGCTTCCTATTCATGAGCATGGGATGTTTTTTCATTTGTTTATGTCATCTCTGATTTCTTTGAGCAGTGTTTTGTAATTCTTCTTGTGGTGATGTTTCACCTCCCTGGTTAGCTGTATTTCTAGGTATTTTATTCTTTTTTCTCGCAATTTTGAATTGGATCGGATTCCTGATTTGGCTCTTGGCTTGGCTGTTGTTGTGTATAAGAATGCTAATGATTTTTGTACAGTGATTTTGTATCCTGAAACTTTGCTGAAGTTCTTTATCAGCTAAAGGAACTTTTGTGCTGAGACTATGGGTTTTCTAGATACATAGAATCAAGTAATCTGCAAAAGGATGTTTTGACTTCCTCCCTTCCTATTTGGATGCCCTTTATTTCTCTCTCTTGCCTGATGGCTCTTGCCAGGACTTCCAATACTGTATTGAATAGGAGTGGTGAGAGAGGGCATCTTTGTCTTGGACCAGTTTTCAAGGGGAATGCTTCCTGCTTTTCCCCATTCAGTATGGTGTTGGATGTGGCTTTGTCATAGATGACTCTTACTATTTTGAGGTATCTTCCTTTAATACTTAATTTATTGAGAGTTTTTAGCATGAAGATATGTTGAATTTTATTGAAAGCTTTTTCTGCATCCATTGAGATAATTATATGGTTTTTTTCTTTAGTTCTGTTTATGTGATGAATCATATTTATTGATTTGCCTATGTTGAAGTAACCTTGCATCCCAGGGATGAAGCCTACTTGATTATGGTGGATTAGCTTTTTAATGTGCTGCTGAATTTGATTTGCAAGTATTTTGTTGAGGATTTTTGCATCAATATTCATCAAAGATATTGGCCTGAAGTTTGTTTTTCTGTTGTGTCTCTGCCAGATTTTGGTATCAGGATGATACTGGCTTCATAGAATGAGTTGGGGAGGAGTTCTTTCTTCTCAATTTTTTGGAATAGTTTTGATAGGAATGGTACCAGCTTTTCTTTGTATATCTGGTAGAATTTGGCTGTGAATTCTTCTGGTACTAGACCTTTTTTGGTTGATAGGCTACTTATTAATGATTCCATTTCAGAGCTTATTATTGGTCCATTTAGGGAATCAGTTTGTTCCTGGTTCAGTCTTGGGAGGGAGTATGTGTCCAGGAATTTATCCATATCTTCTAGGTTTTCTAGTTTGTATGCATAGAGGTGTTCATAGTGGTTTCTGATGGTTATTTTTATTTCTGTGGGGTCAGTGGTAATATCCCTTTTGTCATTTCTAATTGTGTTTATTTGGATATTCTCTCTTGTCTTCTTTATTAGTCTAGCTAGTGGCCTATCTTATTAATTTTTTTAAAGAACCAACTCCTGGATTTGTTAATCTTTTGAATGATTTTTCATGTCTTGATTTCCTTTGGCTCATCTCTGATTTTGGTTATCATGTCTTCTGCTAGTTTTGGGGTTGATTTGCTCTTGCTTCTGTAATTGTCTTAGTTGTGATGTTAGATTGTTAATTTGAGATCTTACCAACTTTTTGGTGTGGGTGTTTAGCGCTATGAATTTCCCTCTTAACACTACCTTAGCTGCATCCCAGAGATTCTGGTATGTTGTGTCTTTGTTCTCATTAGTTTCAGAGAACTTCTTGATTTCTGCCTTCATTTCATTATTTACCCCAAATTATTTCAAGAGCATCTTGTTTAATTTCCATGTAATTGCATGGTTTTGAGTGATTTTCTTAGTTTTGACTTTTATTTTTATTACATTATGGTCTGAAAGTGTGTTTTGGGAAAGAACTCTTTATTCAATAAATGGTGCTGAG